GGGGGCAGGTGGAGATAATCACGGAGATACTGGATGCCCTCGTTGGTAAGGTACCAGTAGAAATGTCTCCAGGCAAACTGTTCCTTCACATAGCCTCGTGATTTGAGAGACTGCATGGCTTTCATGACGTGAAGATTAGGCACATTCTTGTCTGCCAGCTCAGGGTGTTAAGGCATGTGAACATCCTTCTTGGCCACCATCACTCCCTCCTTAAAAAGGAGTTCGTAAATGGCAATCCGGTTCTTCTTGGGCATCAACATCGTTACGGCTTCTGCGTCTGGGTCCGGAGCTGGAAAGGGCTAGCTGTCTCTTTTAAGGAGGGCGCAGCTCACAGCGGCCCATCTGGGGGGATTGAACGGGCAACCTTGGTGTTATCAGCACTGCGCTCTAACCAACTGAGCTAACTGGTCACCCCAAATTATCTTGTCATTCTTTTCTACCTGAACCCTCTGTTGGATGCTCTTCCTGTCCTTGTTCCCTGTGACCCAGGTGGTGTGTGACGATCACGGCTCCCGAGGCTTTGGCTTTGTCCATTTTGAGACCCATGAGGCCGCACAGCAGGCCATCAGCACCATGAACGGGATGCTGCTCAACAATCGGAAAGTGTGAGTGTTGCGGTGTGGGGGCGTGGCCAAGGCTGAAGGGACAGAACCATGGCCTCACCAACTGGGGACTGATGCTCCCCACCACACTGATGGGCACCAGGCACTGAGCAGCGGCCAGTATTCTTCCTGGCAGTGTGACCTCAGAGGAGTGACTCGATCTGTCAGGGACCCCTTTTCTTCTGGTAAAAATGGGGCTGCTCAGATGTGTTTGAGGATTGTTCTGAGTAGTAAATGAAATGATAATTCTAAAATTCTAGCAGGAACAGCTAATGGCCATATCACCAGTGATTTCCTGTCTTCCAGCCTTCTCAGCTTGGCTATGAATTTTTTTCTTAAGCCTTTGTGTTGTTTCATGGGATTTTGGGATGGGAAGGAACGTAGGCATATGCTTAGCCGGCCATCTTGATACATTTAAGTTTGGCATCATCCCCACTTCACAGATGGGAAAATTGAGAACACAGATGCTGGAGAGAATCTGCTCTGACAGTTTCCCTTCCCCAGTTTTGCTTCTGCCCATCAGATGGCCCAGCCCCATGCCCCATGTGGAGTGATGAAGGCTTTGAGCTGGGAGATGCAGTGAGAGTCATTCTATCCAAGGTTTCTCAGGGGAGGCTCCTGTCAATGAAATTGAACCTTGGCAAGCTTTTCCCAATTCTCAGAAGGATGTTGTCTTTGTTAGCCACCATTTGTCTAGGTTTACCTTTGTCACTCAGCTTTCTTCCATTTTTAGTGCCAGCTACAATTTGTGCAAAATGTGCTATAGATACCATCAAATTTTCTTACGCTTGGTTTTGTTTTTTTAATCTAGGATGCTTTCCTAGATGCGTTGACATGAACTTGGGAATTACAATTTTTAAAATTATTATTGTGTTAAGTGACTTCAGTCCCTCCTCACATAGCAACGCTGGCATGGACTGTGTCTGATTCCTTCACCACTGCTTTCCCAGGGCACCCAGAAGTGTTAAATGAATAAGTAAATCCTTCTGGTGTGAGTTTGATCCCCAGTTTTATAGAAATGAACACTGAGGCTCGGAATGGTTAAGGAGCTTGCCCAGGGTCCCACAGCGAGGCAGCTGCGGAGCGAGGGTTCACGTGTGACTCCCAAGTTTATGCTCTTAAGAATCTCCCGTGCACTCAGCTGCCTGGTGTCTGGTAGGAGTTGCCTGTGCGTTTGCCACAAGAATGAAGTCATCCTAACTTTATGCTTCAACATTGAATCTTGGCTGTGGGAGGTGGTTGGACCCTGGATGTGTTCCATCTAAGAAGTATTGCCCTGCCCAGTCTCCTGATGAGGGATAAAGAGGCCTGGAGGCCAGCAGCAGTTTACCCCAATGACCCAGGGTTGCTGGATGAGCTGGGGTAGGGATGGGGTGGCTGGTGGCTGGCCGGCAGCTGCCTACCCTGTCGATGTGTCCGCAGCTTCGTTGGCCACTTCAAGTCCAGACAGGAGCGGGAGGCCGAGCTGGGGGCTCGGGCCATGGATTTCACCAACATCTACGTGAAGAACCTCCAAGCGGATGTGGATGAGCAGGGCCTGCGGGGACTCTTCTCTCAGTTTGGTGGGCGTGTTTCCCAAGGGAGTGGGGGTCACTTTCTCTTCTTTCTGGTCATGCTGGGAGGAGGGGCCCTCCTGGAACTTTCCGAGGACTGGTGGGAAGGGAGGGGAACATCCTGGGGGATTCCCAAACTCTTCTCTGAGCCAGGTCGGTCCTTCCCAGGAAAGATGCTGAGTGTGAAGGTGATGAGGGACGACAGCGGCAACTCCAGGGGCTTTGGCTTCATCAACTTTGAGACACATGAGGAAGCCCAGAAGGTAGGAGCCTCCCCATGGCCGTGTTTCATGGAGAAGGTGCTGAGCCAGGACTAGGAAGAAGGGAGATCAGGAGCCGAGGGCTCCAGCTTCCTGTAGAGGGAAAGGAAGTCCCTCCCTAGCCTGAGCCCACACACGTCAGGGCCCTTCCCGCCTGTGCTGTAGGCAGAATGCTTCGGCCTCCGTCCGAGCCCTGAGGCTGGCATCTTTTCATAGATTCTTGCCCCATGAGAGGTAGAAGGGGCCTTCGAGACAGCCACTAGTCTCTTCTTGACTTGGTGGTGGGATTGAGGCCAGGGAGGGAAAGCGTTGTGCTAGTTCTTCCTTCCAGGCTTTTGCAAATACTGTTTTTTTCTAAAAATAGCTTTCCTTCCCCTACCCTTTAGACCAATGCTGTCCAATAGAAATGTAACGTGAGACACAGGGTGCGATATAAAATTTTCCAGTAGCCACATTAAGAAGGGTAAAGAAAGAAACGGAAGTTAATGTTAACTATGTATTTTATGCAACTTAACATATTCAATTTACAGTCACTTCAATGTGTTTTCAGTATAAAAATTGAGATTTTACCTTCCCTCTTTTTGTACTTAATTCTTTGAAACCTGGTACTGATAGCACAATTCAGACTCGCCGTATTCCAGGTGCATGTGACAGGTGACTACCATATTGGACAGTGTAGCTTTAGACTCCTCAGTGGGTCCCAGCTTTATACTTGACCTCCTTCAGGAAGCCACCCCTTCCTGTCTTCACTTGCTTCTGACGAGGTGCCCCTCCTGCCTCTCTTTGTCATTAGCACAGATCTCTGTGTGTACAACAGAGGGTGCAGGCTGGGTGTCATTTCACCATTAAGTCTCTAGTATTGTACCTGCCCGTAGGTACCAGCTACTTATTTGCTGATCAAGTGAATAAGTACAAGGTCACACAGGTCGTGACCAAGCTGAACTAATAATGTCATATTTGGCCTTCCACCATAAAGCTCTTTCCAGGGCTGCTGCCCCACTGCGATGCTCATGGTGGCTTCTGGTTGGAGTCCTGGATCCTGCTGCCATCTTCAGAGCAGCTACTTCTCACTGAGCGGCCACCATGGGCCAGGCGCTGCGCTGAGGGGTTTTGCATACATTCTCATCTCTGCCCCCAGCAGTGTGGGCTGGACTGTTGTTATTAGCGCCCACGGGTTGTAGCTAGCAGGTGAGAGATCCGTGGGATTAGAACCAGCTCTTTCTGACGCTGCAGCTTTGTTCTTAAGTATACAGCTGCTTTGAAAGGTAACTTCTTGTGTGTCCGTGAACAAGTCCCGCCCTCTCTCTAGGCTTTGGTTTCCCCAACTGTGAAATAAGTTGGAGTAGATGGGTGAAGCTGCAGGGGTCCATTAACTCCAAGGTCTCAGAGATTTTGGTAATGACCTTTCACTGGTATAGAACAGGCAGTTCCTCAGTCCCTGAGTCCCTGAGTCTAGTTTTATATATTTACATATGTTTGCATATTTAGGTAGGGAAGCAAAAGTCCTCATTATGTGGAAGTATTTACTAATGAACTGACCACTTGAAGTCAGCTCCCTTCAAATGTTTCTCCTCACGAACACTGTTGTCTAATCCTAACCATTGAATCGATACACACAAGCCTGCCTTTGCTGATTTTTGTGGATGAGCCAATACAGAGTCAGCTCAGCGTAAATGGGTTGCAGAGAGAAGTCACACATCTTGCAGAAGATGTAGGATTTCGTGCAATCAAAGCCACTGACAGTTTTTTTTTTTTTTAGCTGAGCCATCCTGCCACCTGTTGGCAGCTCAGCGGCTGCTCAGCTTGGGCAGGGACTGAACCGCTGTTGCTCAGAGCTCACTCTTGAGCAAGCTCTTAACCAACTGCGCCACTCATCAAAGCCACTGACAATTTACAGTCTGACAGGCTTAGGCCAGTTAGCTGAAGAAAAGANCAGCGGAGCGGGCACTGGACACAATGAACTTTGAGGTGATAAAAAGCCAACCCATCCGCATCATGTGGTCCCAGCGAGACCCAGGACTTCGCAAGTCGGGTGTGGGCAACATCTTCATCAAGAACCTGGAGGACTCCATTGACAACAAGGCCTTATATGACACCTTCTCCACCTTTGGGAACATCCTCTCTTGCAAGGTGGGTGTGCCTCTTGCAGGGGCCTGTGTCAGATACCTGTGGTAGAGGGGTGCCAAGCAGCACATCACTTTACAGTTTACAAGGTCTTTTCAGTTAAGCTCCAGGTTCAGCAAGCACCGAATGGAAGTTATTCTTTCAGCTTCATCCTCATAGACCTATCAGAGGTCACCTATGTACCAATCAGCTCTTGCTGTGTAATCACCCCACAACTTAATCACTGTCAACAACAACCATTTAGCTTATAATTCTGCGGTTGGTGATTTGGGCTGGGTTCGGCTGGGCAGTTCTTTTGGTCTTGGCTGGGCTCCTTCATACACCCATTGAGACTGGATGGCTCTGTGTGTAGGCAGTGGTTGGCTGTCAGCTGGGACATCTCAGCTTTCCTCCCTGTGGTCTTTCACCCTCCAGTAGACAAGCCCAGGCTATTCTCATCGCAAGGGCAGGGACCCAGGAGACAGAGGAAGCTCGCCAGGCCTCTTGAGAGCTAAGCTCAGTACTGGCACACCATCGCTTCCTCTGCATTCCATTGGCCAAAGCGAGTCACAAGACCAGCCCAAATTCAGAGCGAGAGGACAGTAGAAATTATAGCACCAAGGGTGTGTGGCTACAGGAAGGCCATTAATTGAAGCCATTGTGGCAATCGGTGTCGACACCTTGTTTTTTAAGATTTCTCATACAACGGATGTTCCATAGAAGTAGTGATCTTATTCACCCTTGTATCCCAGTCCCTTGACTAAGATGTGACACATAGTAGGTGCTCAATAAATATTTGTTGAGCAAATGGCTGTATTATAATTTAAGAAGGGGTCTGGTCATTTCCCTGACTTGGTAGACAAGGATCTTGAGATTCAGAGGTCATAGAGCGGGTCAGTCAGTCCAGACAGAAGGCTGAAACCTGGATGTTTTGCCTCTAGATTTTATCTGTGGTATAGATGAGACCTGTGTTCAATTTGAGGACTCTATCCCTCCTTTCTGTGTGATCGTAAACAAGTGGATTGACCTCTCTGAGTTTTAGTTTCCCATCTCTCAAATGGAGCTGTTGTGTGACATAGGATTGTCTTTCCCAGGCACAGAACAAGCACTCAGATATTGCTTCTTATCATGTCATTCTTTCTTTCTTTTTTTTATTTTATTTTATTGGGGAACAGCTATGGTCACCGGTTACGCATTGCTTTCATGCTACAATGGCATAGCTGTCTGTCTCTCTCTCTTTTTTTTTTTTCTCTCTCTCTACAAGTTGATTCAATGCCAAAAATCACTGCCAGTTTGCTGAGATTATTTCCTCTTCAAAGTTGACTTTACTTTGAGGTTGCTGACCATCTCCACCAGTCGAGGGACTCCCCCCAACCAATCCAGTCTCGCTCCATTTATACTCTGACTTTAAAAACATTCCGGCTCAGGCTACATTATGCAAAAACGGGGGCACACAGATAATTTTTTTGCCACAAGCTCAAATAATTCAACACCAAATAATCACTCCAACTTTACTGAGGTGGTTGACCACGTCTGCGACCAAATCCGCCTCTAAACTGGAATTCGGTTGCGGACCCAACCCCAGCCTCGGCTTTCTTGTCGGCACCAGGAGGCACAGCACTCCTTCTGTAGGTGTCTCTGTCAGTTCCCCTCGTGTGAGTCTTGCAGGTCGCTCGCCCTCCAGACCTTTGGGCCTTGGCCTGCCAGTCTCAGGTCGGCTGCGGCGCAAAGTGGCAGG